CCATGACTGGGATAGCTACCTGTCTTCAAGCACAGGGAATTTTATTTATTTATTTATCTATCTATCTATTTATTTATTTATTTCAGTACACAGATCGATTTTGTCTCTTAGGTTTGTACTGCAGTGATAGAGCAGGTGGATCTGGGTCAAAAATAAACAGAATACTTCCCTGGGACCAAGACTTGACCTAGATTCTCCCAATCTAATAGCCTAGAAACATGGCTCAGCCTCATGGCACTCATGACCTTGATTCATAGGCTAAAAGATCGCTGATGAGGTCAAGCAAGGGGGAGGGGTCTCTACCTTCAGAAGGGAGGTAGACAAGGGGCAAGGGGTAGCAGGAAAGATTGTCCTAAGAGCTTAAGGGCTTTAGTCACCCCAGGAGTCTCTCTTCTGATGTCATGGAGAAGGCAGAATGTTCTAGTCCTTTGCTGTATTGCTTCCTCCCTTTCAGTTGTTAACATACAGGAACTATGTTGTTATATTGCCTATTTTCCTATGCTCCTAATTTCTTTCTTTGGCTATTGCAAGATTGACACCCAATGGCTTCCACCTATTAAGGTGTGTTTCTCCATCATAATTTTCTCTTTTAGTGTCAAATTTTATGTCCCTCCGTTGGGTCACATCATCATCATAACCCTCATATTTGCATTCCCAAACTGGTGCCATGGAGACCATCATTATCAGAACCTTTGCATTTTGTCAGCATAATAAGAAAGTGTATGGGTAAAAACAACACATGATTAGGAGTCCAGGTTTTAGACATAAAGATTTTGAAACCTGAATTTATTTTTCCACGATTAGGAACACCACAATTTGTACATGACATATTCCAGTAATTAATGGCACCATTTGCAAGTTTGTATCCAAGTGGGGAAGAAATGGAAGAGGTTACATATCTGTGTCCAAGAATGAGAACACTGGGTATCAAGATGAAAAACGGAGGTGCTTGAAAAGAACTTTCTTAGCCTGGGCAACATATTGCCAAAGACTGAAGAGTGTGAACTATTTTCTTACCTCTGGATGATGAGCTCTTCTGTGTAGGCAATCACACTCAAAGCTGGGATGACATTTCCAAGAATTCACTTTCCTCTCCTTGCCAATAAGTTTCTCTTCCTCATTAGTCTACTGCTCAAAGAGAAGAGCTTCCAGAAAAGAATTAATATTTCCTGAGCATCTCCAACAGGCTGGCACATTCATAAGTGCTAAGTGCATTTATGAATGGTAACAAATTTAATCCTAAAAATTATTAGTTGCACAGATGAGAATACAGAAACTCAGGATGTTAATATGTCTAAAGTCAGGCAATTAATATGTAGAAGATTCAAGATGCACACCCAGCTCTGTATGACCTCCTCCCCCAGACTAAGTGTTTTGCTCATTAGAGGTTTTATAGAGATAGGAGAAAGATCTGAGAAATCTCTTCATGGAAATTTTTTAATTGACAAGATATCAGTCTTTTCCTGGCTCATCATATTAACCAAGGAGCCACCCTAACAATCTTCTGTTAATGTGTCCTCGCGGAACCTCCTTTTACCCTTGGGTCACCCATAAACCTCCGCCATGAGGCTATCCCACAGTAGCAGAACCCTGTCAAAACTAGGAAGTGGCTGGCTACTTACAATAATTTATATGAAAGAGAATCCACGGTCAAACTCAAGTTACAAAAGTGGTTTCCAGAAGAGTTGTTTTGTTATTATTGTTAATTTATTTTTTTTTTCCACTTGTGTGCCTGAATATGATTTTCAATTGTTCTTGACTATAGTGGATATTTTTGATCAGTATTCAGAGTGGACCACAAAAAAATAGGATCCTAGGCCACAAGGCAACAGGGGAAAACAGGGTATGCACACAGACCCTCTAAACATCAAGCTAGATTGGTCTGTAAGTCTCTTACCTATTGTACACACTTTACTAGGTCCCCAGGGCTAAAGGATCTCAATACTGAGTTTTCAGTTTTCTGACTGAAGTATTCCCTGAGCCTTCTGGAAGCACAGTTCAGAGGAACATCACTGGCTCTTATCACATTATCTAGTTCCAGTAACCACACTAGGAGACATGCTTGATATGAACTGGCCTTCTTATTTTAAAGATAAGCAAGTGAGGTTCTGGATGGGAAAACAAATGACTCATCCTAAAGCACATAATGAGTATGTCTGGAGGAGACCTTCTGAGCATTTTTTCCCATCTCCTGAATTGATCTTAAAATCTATATGTAAAATATGTTTTACTAGAAGATATAGGTTTTTTTTTTTCCAAAGTTTTTGGGTTTCTACTGAACTTTCCCTCATAGACTGTAGATGGTTCAGTTCCCTGGGTACTTTGATAAGCTTTTATGTGGTAGTTTCAGTGTGTCTGAGAGGACTCAGCTGTTGTAAACATGAAACATCTTGAATTCACATGCTGGTGGTGTTCTCAGATCCATGTTTTCCATTAGTGTTTGAGTTTCAATTACTTTCATGTGCAGGCCCGCCTGCTGGGATCTAGGGTGCATATTGCAGGGATGGCTCATTGAAGAACAGGTTTTAAATTATGGCTCCCACAAATTGATAAAAACAAAAACACCCTACCCACTTTCCCTTCAACCATAATATCAAGGGTAACAGAGTAGGATGGAATAGAAATCCAAGTAAATGATCTACTGGGGACATCATCCATATCAGAGTTATATTTGACCGAGCCATTTAATTAATTTATTTTTCTTCTTAAAAATTTAATGTTTGTTTTTATTCATGATGGTATTAGGACATTTCAGGTCATTAAAATGAGGAAAATATTAGAACTTTCATTTTTTTTGAAAGTCTCGTTTGAACACAAAACAATGTAATATAAGACAATAAGATTTTGAAATATTGTATTATAGGTGTTTAAATTTAGTGGCTAAGTGAGGGGGTCATTGGTATAGCCTAGGACAGGAAAAGAATAGTCAGATGACTAAATATTACTTGGTTAATTTTCTTTTTTTTTCACAATTTTCCACAGTACGTATAATTTTTTTTCCACTGAGAACAGCAAAATATGCCAATTATGCAAAATTTAGAACATATGGAAAGGTGGGAGGGCTCTTCTGCCTTGTGTTGATTGCAGTGTTGGCAGTGAAGGGTTGAGAATCTGTCAAGGGTTGAGAATCAAGCCAGAGAATGCAGGCACATTTTCTGCAATACTTGGAATGTCTACTTACCTTATAGAAGAGTGAATCCACCATATATGATCTCACACAGTATGAACTGCATTTTCTTTAACCTAATATATACCAATTTAACTTTTTTTGGCAGTGGGGGGGGGACAGGGAATTGAACTCAGGTGTACTTAACCACTGATCCACATCCCCAGCTCTATTTTTGAATTTTATTTAGAGACAGGTTCTTACTGAGTTGCTTAGAACTTCACTTTTGCTGAAGTTGGCTTTGAATTCACCATTCTCTTGCTTCGGCCTCCAGAGCCACTGGGATTACAAGCATGGGCCACCACACCCGACTTTAATTTAATTTAAGAGTCTTTAAATCATAGCAAATTGATAGTACTGGCAACCTATTTAAGTCCTTCCATCTTTTGAACCAGGATGTTGGTCATAGAATTCATGTTGGTATAACAAGCAGGCCACATTAGAGATCACTGTGTGTGTACGTGCATGTTTGTGTATAATTTGGTAAAGTGCATTAAAATTTTCCACTATTTTATAATACCAGTGCTTTCCCTCCAGAAAACCTATTCTGGAAAAAATATTTTGGGTTGGTAGAAAAAATGATGAAGAAGTGCTTTGGGATCGATCATAGGTTACAAAAGATTGAGCAATTTATGAAAGCCAACATCTGAAATTTGGGTGAAATTCTTCCCAGAACACATTTGTTCAACAAATATTGATTGTCTGCTGTGTTTCTGTCACTGGAGAGCCTCAGATGAATCAGATAAAAATCCACCGTTCTCCAGACGTTCATAGTCTCATTGAAGTCAAAGTGGTTATGTCAACACATCATGGTGGAAGAGTAGGGTACCTATTTCCGCAGGAATATGCAGTGTGGTGAGACCCAAAGGAGATGGAGAGACCTAGGAGGGCCTCCTTGAAAAGGTGGCTTTGGAAGTTGATTTTGAGTCCTGAGAAGTTCAGCTCTCCTCATAAAATGAACAGTTTTGAGGGGCAAGAGAGCAATGGCTGAAAAGACCAGGCACGTGGAAAAGCATTCTGGGAAGCCAGAAGTGAGTTCTCTGGGTGGGTCTGAACTGGCTCCTGTAGAAAGAGGCAGGACATGAACCTGGAAGGCAAGGCAAAGTCTAGACAAAGGAAGTAGCCCATGGTCCACTTGCAAGGATGGGCTGTGTTATGTGGATCCCAGAGAAAACACTCGTTTTTAAGCAGAGAGGGAGGAGATGTTAAACAGGTGGCTGATTATGTTTGCATTTCAAAGAAGCTCTGAATCTGCCTTAAGGTTTATAAAATATCTCCTCTTTTATAAAAAGGTTATCCTTTGGGACTTATGAGTGGGTCTACAATTTGGGGAAGGTTTGAGGTAGAGTTAGAATTTCTTTAAAACACACACAAATTGACAAACTGTTTTATATGAAGTAAAAAAAAAAGTAAGCATGAGAAAGAAGCTTTTTCTGTTTGTTAGCTCTCACACTCACTTAAATTTTTAACTACAAGCTATGCTAACAGGAAATATGTAGTTGAACCTCAGGCTTTTGTGTTGTGCCTGATAAACGGGGACAACACCCAGCCCCAAAAGGTGTGCTTTTCTTGCCAATGAAGGAGTCTGGTACAGACCAAATCCAAAGGAGCCAACTTCTGAGTTTCTTTCCGAAATACAGAGAGATTCGTCTGTGTTCTTACCGTGCCAAATGACATCGATCTCTGTAGATGCTTAGATTAAAGAACAAGTGGGAGTATTCTGGTTGTTAACCTTTGTGATGACAAGAGTGCTTTCCAATTTTGCAAGCTGAATGCAACGGTGATTGGAATGGTCTTGATATGAAAGCACACCTTGTCTCCCCTCTTCCAACAGATAACACGGCAGGAGTGTATGCCCGGCGTGGAGGCTTCAGTCGGCAAAAGCAGGATCTATACCTCCTGCCCATAGTGATCAGTGATGGGGGGATCCCGCCCATGAGCAGCACCAACACCCTCACCATCAAAGTCTGTGGGTGCGATGTGAACGGGGCGCTGCTCTCCTGTAATGCCGAAGCCTACATCCTGAATGCCGGCCTGAGCACAGGGGCACTCATCGCCATCCTTGCCTGCATCGTTATTCTCCTAGGTAAGGGGTTTCCCTGTTTAGCTGCCACAGTCAGATCCACATCCTTGAAAACACATCCTTGAAACTTGTGTTCCTCAAGTCCTGGCTCATGACCACGTCCATGCTGTGTACTGTGGACACAGCTTAAGCAAAATGAAAAATTAAAAAAAAAAAATTGGAGCGGGGTGGGTGCCAGCTCTCCTGAGTTTCATGGGACAGTAGCAGAGCATGAAGTTAAACAAGCACATTGATAGAGTGGAAAGAAAGTTGTGATGAGCATCTTGCTGGGTGCGTATCACAAGACTGGGTGGCAAAAGCAATGTGCATGCTAGAGAGACATCAGAGAGGGTTTTGCATATGAGGGGTTTAGGCAGTGACTTGCTATATGTGCAAGAGTCTTGCCTCAGAGGAGGAAGAAGGGTTAGGGACCAAGGGGACAGGAAGGGCCATGATGAGAAAAATGACAGTGTGTGAAGGACTCTAGGAAAGGAAAGCATGTCAGCTGGCTGTCATCATTCTTCACAATATCTGTGCACATGCTTCCTCAGCTTATGGCTGCTTTACTGCAGATTGCCAACTGAGCTAGGCCCCTGACTTCTGTAGTGGTGTTCCATCTATGGTCCACTCTGTATCAACTCCAATGAGCAGATGATACCTCTGTCCTTGCTGGGCCTCAGGAACATTAGATGATTTGTTCCAACCTCTCAGAACTAAGTGAGTTTCAGAATCAGACCCCAGACCCAAGATCATCTGACACCAAACGTATGCTTTCCCCAAGATGTTTGTTGCTCCATTAAATTAATTAATGGGACTGATTCTGTAGAAAATAGCTAGAAAATCAAGTTTAATAATAGTTGAGTTTTATCTGGAGACCAAGCCACCTATCTTAGGCTCCCAGGCAGAAAGAGAATTATGCAAGAACTCTATGCTGCAGGAGTCCATGGTCTATCAAGGAAGGTTTTCATGGACAGAGTAAATAGAGGTTTTACATGAGTGCCATGATAGAGACATGACACAAAGGTAGTGTGGGCACAGAGTAGAAAGTGCCTGCATCGCCTGAGAAAGTCAGGCACATCTTCCTGGAAGATGTCATAGATATAGCAGCTACAGAAGCAGTTTCTAGCTGATGAAAGGGGTACTCCCATCAGAGGGATCCCTGAAGAACTGATCCTGGGAGAGACAGATGTGTAAACCTGCAATAAGTGTTTCAATGATATAAAATGGGATTCACTGGGTGGATGGAGCCCATGCCCATAGCCCTGTGTCATGTCGGGATGGGATGCCGAAAAAATGTTTTATGGTGAAAGATCAAAAAGTGTCAGCCAAGCAAAGAAAGTGAAAACCATCTGGGTGGGCAAAAGTGCTTGCAGAAAAAGGCACAGACCTCTGGGGACCTCATGGAGTCCAAGGCAATTGCAATCCCTAATCCTCTGTCACAGAGCCCCCAAAGGGCTCTCAGTCTCCTTGTCAAATTCAGCCACAAACTTTCCTCTCAGTCTTGCTGAGTGTTGAGGAGAGTCTTCAAAAAAAAAATAAACAAAAAAACCCCAAAACATTACAGAAGCCTCTTGGTGGGGGTGAGTGTAGGGGCAGAGGAAATGGTTACAGGAGAAATCAGTGTCCAGGTTTTCCTTATGAGTGACTCTGCTCCTTCCTCCCAGTTGTCCAGACTAAATGGAATACCTCTCCCAGGAAAGAGAGAAGATTGCTTTATCTGGGGTTTCAGATAACACTATTTTTTTTAGGTTCAAAAAGTAGATTTTTCTCCTGGGGTCTTCACAACTGTCCCCTCCTCTCACCTTCATGATAGTTTCTTGATATTATTATAAAGTAGGGTTAATGCTGATCCCCAGAGCTCTGGGAAGTATCTAGTTTTTACCTCCTATAGGAAGGTAGGTCCTGAATTCTCTGAATGGCCTCATTCTTAAAGTTGGGAATGGCAACTCCCTTCTTTGCAGAAACAAAAGTGGCCCTTAACCCCTTTTAAGAGAATGCACATTTAGAATCTTCCTGATAGTTAGGCAAATGGCTGCCAAATAGTGGCAGCCTCCATTTGCCAAGTTCCAAAGTGCCAACCTGCCCGACCACTGGGTATAATGTTCTCATGGCTGCACAGCCAGGCAGAAGTCAGTTTTGCACATTTCTGGGGATTCCTGGCAAAGCTCTCCTTCCCTCTGTGGCTTCCAGTTCTGAAACACAGACCTACTTGAGGTTCTTGGGAAACAAAACACTAGGCAAAGAATCTGGGGAAACTGGGCTTTGCCACACTTACCTTCTTCTTCTTTCCCTGTAGTCATCGTAGTGCTGTTCGTGACCCTAAGAAGGCAAAAGAAAGAGCCCCTGATTGTTTTTGAGGAGGAGGATGTCCGTGAGAACATCATCACCTATGATGATGAAGGGGGAGGGGAGGAAGACACTGAAGCCTTCGACATCGCCACCCTCCAGAACCCCGACGGTATCAATGGATTTATCCCTCGCAAAGACATCAAACCCGAGTACCAGTACATGCCTAGGCCCGGGCTCCGGCCAGCACCCAACAGCGTGGACGTGGATGACTTCATCAACACGAGAATACAGGAGGCAGATAACGACCCCACTGCACCCCCTTACGACTCCATCCAAATCTATGGTTACGAAGGCAGGGGCTCGGTGGCCGGGTCCCTGAGCTCCTTAGAGTCGGCCACCACCGACTCGGACTTGGACTATGACTATCTACAGAACTGGGGACCTCGTTTTAAGAAACTAGCAGACTTGTACGGTTCCAAAGACACTTTTGATGACGATTCTTAACAATAACAATACAAATTTGGCCTTAAGAACTGTGTCTGGCGTTCTCAAGAATCTAGAAGATGTGTAAACAGGTATTTTTTTAAAAAATCAAGGAAAGGCTCATTTAAAAACAAGCAAAGTTTTACAGAGAGGATACGTTTAATAAAACTGCAAGGACATCAAAGTGGTAAATACTGTGAAGTACCTTTTCCCACACACACAAAAAAAGGCAAATATTGAAGTTGTTTATCAACTTCGCTAGAAAAAAACCACTTGGCATACAAAATATTTAAGTGAAGAAGTCTAATGGTGAACTTACAATGAAGGGAAATTGTTTATGTGTTATGAACATCCAAGTCTTCTTCTTCTTCTTTTTTTTTTAATTTGTCAAAGAAGCTTCCACAAAATTTCAAAGGACAACAGTTCTGAGCTGTAATTTCGCCTTAAACTATGGACACTCTCTATGTAGTGCATTTTTAAACTTGAAATATATAATATTCAGCCAGCTTAAACCCATACGATGTATGTACAATACAATGTACAATTATGTCTCTTGAGCATCAATCTTGTTACTGCTGATTCTTGTAAATCTTTTCGCTTCTACTTTCATCTTAAACTAATACGTGCCAGATATAACTGTCTTGTTTCAGTGAGAAGCGCCCTATTTCTATGTCATTTTTAATGTATCTATTTGTACAATTTTAAAGTTCTTATTTTAGTATACATACAAATATCAGTATTCTGACATGTAAGAAAATGTTACAGCATCACACTTATATTTTATGAACATTGTACTGTTGCTTTAATATGAGCTTCAATATAAGAAGCAACCTTTGAAATAAAAAAAAAGATTCTTTTTTAATTCTGGGTTTGATTCTTAACATTGAAAGAAATTAAGGATTTCTAATGATCCATTTATATTTCTAATTTAATTGTGATCTTTTAATAACCCTATTTATGATCTGTTGTAGTCTGCTGCTTTTACTGTTTATTTAAAGTCAAATATGTTTTGCAAATGTTTTTTGGGGGGCAAAATTCTGTAAGATCATGTAAAGCATATATATAGATATATATATATATACACATATATATATTTCTTTTTTTTTGTACAATTCTTGGCATTAGCCTTCCTGCTTCTCTTCACACACATCTTTTAAGAAAGGAAGATGCTAAAGATCTAGATCATTCTACGATTTTGCAATATGTGTTACATAATATGCATTTATCTTGTATATCAGTGATCTCATGGTTGTGAGAGACAAATCTATGGCGGAATGAAAACTATCAGGACTCTAAATGTTCAAGGTATGTATTTTATTCCCTACCCTGAGCATTTGGGAGTTGAAGAAGGAAAGAGTCAAAAATTAAATTTGCTCCACACTCCAGTGTTATTTTTCTTTATGTTAATCTTACCAGGCTATTGTAAGACTCTGACAGTTGAAATGGCTCATTTTTTTCCTCCTGGAACTTTAACGTAGCTTAATGTGGCATTTTTAGTTTTGCTAAGAGAAAGGGAAAATTCACTTCCAACCCTTGTTTTAGAGTATGCTTTGGGCCATAAGCTCAAAAGGAAAGCAGAGACCATGCTGGATTCTGAGGGTGATACCATTTGATCCGTGAGTACGCCTGCAGGTACCTGAAGTCCCCTTGGGACTTATATGAAGGACATTTCACTTGCACAGTTGGGCCACAGGTCAAAAACGTAGCAATACTTGGGGGAAGGACCACAGGAATCATGCTGCAAGTACTTTCCCTCTTCTTCCCTAAACCCAGGGGACATGAATTTTCGTGGATTGCAGACAATTTTTAAATTGTCTTTTCCCTCCCTTACTTTATCATGAAAGTTTGTTTTAACTTTTCCTGATATCCTGTTATATACTGTTTTTATGAACTCAGTCCAAATGCATACAAAGAGAAATGTTTTTATGAAGTGCTCACTCCCCTTTTACTTTGCATTTAAATCAAATTGGCTGACCACTTCAATGGAATGAATTCTGTGGACAATGTCACTTTAGAATCTTTCATTTTGGTGAAGGATTGCACATTCTCAATGCTTCCATAATTGCAGGTTGTGTTCATTTTTTATATAGTTTTTGTAATCCAAAGAATATTTTGCTAGATTTGCACAGATCTCCAATTGAATTTGAAATGAAGAAATAACTCAAAAGGAATATGGATAGCACTTAAACACGTTTACAGCTGTAAGTAACAAGTAACCCCATCACCGTGGACAATCTTTTTTTTTTCTCCTTCTAGGAATGTATTTGAAATAGAGTTGACAATGACATTTTCACATTTTTATGTCAAAGTTTTTTTTTTAAAGGTTGTCTACTTTTCAGTAGTTAAAAATACTTGCTTTTCTTTTTTAAAAAAATCTTTTCCATTTTTTTACTTTAAGATTCTATTGTTTGTAGAACCCTCTTAGAAGCTTGAAAATAAAATGTCTTTCCCAACTAGTGGAGTCCTTTTTCATTTGGAATCTACAACCTTCAAAGCAATCTTGGTTTAAGTGGTCCTTCTTTCCCTCAGAACAATGTAATCACTGCTTATGGCATTGATGAGCCTAAAAAGAGAATGCTGTTCTCTTCTTGTCTTGAATAATGTGCAATGTTTAGATTCATCATTCATCCATCCATTCACTGATGCACTCATTCATCAGCATCTTATTTTGCAGACCCTACTAGCTACCTGAGGATGCAGGCTGAATTCTGCTATCTTCATGAGCATGGTTCAATTTTCCAAACCCTTGACTGAAATATCTACCCTGTTGTCTCATAACCAACTGTTACCTTTAAGCACATCTACCTCCCCTGACATTGCAAGGTTGAGGGGAGGAGCCAATAAGATAAAAGATGTAACAGGAGATGACAAGGTGCTGAGCATGCATGGAGTTTATACCCACTGTGTCAACTCCTGAACAGATCTTGCACTTAGCTAAGTTGCATCCCCAGGATTCCTTGCATGATGGGGAAGGTAAGAAAGCATGTTATCACATGACTGGAGAACATTAAAAGTGCACATTCATGGTGCCCAGAGAGCATGGCTCTCTCTATCAGATAGGACCAGTCAAGGAGTATCTAAATTTGTTCCTGGGTAACTGCATTACATCTTTTACCCTTTCGTGAGAACCTTACAGGACAATGAGTTGCAGGGAAGATAGCCGGGATCTCTGAGCAGAAAAGTGGCTAAATTCATCTGACAAGCACAGATTAGAAGCCTATGAGCCTAGATCCACTCCAGGAAGGCACTTGTGAAGGTCAAAATGAGATAGAATGAGGACCTAAGATAATTCAATCAGGTATAGAAAGGGCCAGAGGTTTTTCTGTTTCTGCCCTGCTTTGGCATGGTCTGGGCTGTGCTCTTCTCTGACCTGGGACATTGACACTGTCTCCTGGCTGTTCCACACTTTCTAATCTATTTTTCCAGGAAGAAACCAGGGAGATATTTTTAATACACAGCTCAGATCACATGACTTCATAACTCAAACCTCTTCTCCAGCTTCCCCAAGTCGTAAAATAAATTCCATTCCCTTTACTCCATTACTTTGCATACCCTACAACCAGGCAAATCTCTCCAATTCCATCTCAGTCCTGCCTACCTTCAGTGAGCTACTCCTCCCAGCTACCTGGCCATCTTTTAGTCCCCCATACAAACAAAATGGACTCCTTTCATACCTAAAGTTGGTCACCCTCAATTGGTTTTCTTCTACGGATTTTCACTCTTTAAACTGATTTTGCTTATTGACTTTTGAGGATGGGATATGATTCACCCACCAAGAGTTGGATCTGTCTTCCACTGTATGCCCACTTCTTTATACTGTGCCCCAAACCAAACGGGTACATGGTAAGCATCCACTGAATAATGAATGAATTTTGACACAGCTCCCTTATCAGGATTTGGGGAGTGACCGGAGAATGCCTTTATGATGTTACCTTATCTGAGAACTTGAGTCCATCCTGATCTTGGAGCCAGAGATTGTGATGGGAAAAGGAGAAATGGTTCAGGAGTAAGAAGCTGAATTAAATTTGAATGGACACGGGAATCGGAGATATCTGTGTGACAGCCAGAGGAAAGAGGACCTGCCGCGTAGGTCATCATATATATGGGATTGCATTCCGCTCACTGAAGAGGTAGAGATGGGAACTGAGAGAAGGAGTTGAGGCCACAGGATGGCTGTGTTTCTTCTTAATTGGGTTTTCAAAAGACTGTTTCAGTGGTAAAGTCCCTCTGGTGTTGAAAAGTAATGCTGAGTTTAGTTTTATTAATAAAGATAATTAGTCAACATAAACCTTACCTTTGTATAACAAATGCTTTGAAAAATAAGAAGGGAATATCAATTAAATTGCTACTTCTTCTCTTCAAATAGTGAAACTTTTTGAACTCATACTATAGGGAGTCTTGTACCAGGTGGGGATACACATTCTATTCCTACGAGAAGACAAAGTATGTGCACTGATCACCGCCTTATGTTGAAGGGCATTGTAGACTAGAGAGGTTAAGCTTCTCTCCAAGGCACACACGGGAAATCAGGTCACAACTGGATGGGAAAGCATTTCATGTGTCCACCCTGGGTCACGAGGTTTCTCTTTTAAACCAAGGTTGAGGAAGCCAATGACAATGACTGACCATTCCTCACAATCAATGACCTTGCTGAGGAGTTAGGCATGAGAACTTGGAAAGGGGTGGATGATCTCCTCCTTCCACATATTCAGTTTATGACTTTCAGAAACTGTTCACCTGGCAGGATCCAGGGTCTAGTCACGCCCTAAAGACTCAGCTGCCTTCTAAGTCTAAAGTGATGCAGAGGAAAGAGTCATAGGCTGTGCTGTTGGGATTTGCATCTTCTTATACTATGAATTTTGAGAATCAAATATAAAACAAACCAACTTGTCATTTTAAAGCTGTTTATATTATGTTTTATAAAGAAGTTTAATACTTTATCTTCATCATAGGATTAAAAATGTATAAAACCTGAAGGCCAGTGTCTAAAGCCCTGTCATTTCTTAGTGAATTGGAGGTGAGAATTGACTTTCCTGGTCACCATCGACTTAGAAGGAATTTCTTGTTCCTAGTGACTTAAATAGGACTTCACTGTTCTTAATCACCTTGAGAAACAGATAGGCAGCCTGTGGTCATCTCTTACAGGTTCACATAAACACACTAGTCCAAGGCTCAGCTTTCACAGAGCTCAACTCCTCAACTCAGAAGTTAAACAGTATAGCCCACATTGGATGTGACATTCCGTACCCTCCTATGTGTAAAGTCAGGCCCCAACATTGACTAACTGTGTGATTTCAGACATGAATCTTGACCTCTCTGAATTTTGTTTTCCGCAGATGGGCAATAGAAATAACAATTCTCACTTTACCAACATGCAGTGAAGAATAAAGGAATCCATGTTTCTAAAGTCACTAATAGTTACTAGGACTTACTGGAAGGGAGCAATTATATTCAGAGTGTCTATATTATTTTTCCCAATCCGAGGCTTGAGAACAATATAAGAAAATAATTTATCACCTCATGCCTCTTGTTTCTTCTGTTTTCTTCAGAAATTAATTCACTTTCTCATCTTGCTCTGTACTGAGCCAAAACAGAAGACAAGATATCTTAAGACAACAGAGTTTGGTTAAGAGAGAACTGAAAAACAATTTCCCCCACTTCCAAATATTAAAAAACAAAACAACACTCTGTTCAATGGATTCACTTAGGTTGGATTAAGATACATAGCATAATGTTGGCAAAGAAATAAGTAAAACGGGGGTGGGGGGCTGGGGATGTGGCTCAAGTGGTAGCGTGCTCACCTGGCATGCTTGCAGCCTGGGTTTGATCCTCAGCACCACATACAAAGATGTTGGGTCCGCC